CCCTTCTGTGAGCATTCATCAAACCATAAATGGTTTTCTTCTCATGAATATGCAAACACACCCCCAAGCCAATCAAAACATCATCCTGTTTTGGCACACGTCATAGCTTATGCACACAAATGTATGTTCATGTGTCTCCAGGACGTTTGTGAACTCACATGGCCAAGTGTGTTAATTTGTGTGTTACGCCCCACCAGCACATCACTAAAATATAGCAGATTGCAGTCATCATACCTCTGGGATTAATAATTGCAATATTGTAGAGTCATAATTGCAATTTTGCCTGGGTGAAATGTAATTCTATGTTAGCAACATGAAAAAATTTGATGAAGGAAAATCACAATTTTTTTTTTTTATCTGACCCTTTCTATGACTTTAATTACCTTCAAAAAGTTAGAAAAAAACATACTGTATACTATGGCTTTATTTTTATCTCACTTATATTCAATTCGGTATTCTCCTTGGAGTCTCATATTACAGCTCGTCTAGACATTTGATTTCTACTCACCAAAGACAAATGTAAATGTTTACGTACTTCAGTGTTAACTACAGCCACAAACCCACCCTCAGGGGGTCACAAGCTAGTCCCAGTACTGGTCCCAATCTCGGGATAATTGGGAGGGCTGTATCCAGACGTGTTTCCAGTATAAAATCTTTGCAAAATCAAACATGAAGATCCATCCACTGTAGCCCCTGTGGAAACATGGAGCGACCTAGATACCTTTATCCGATAGCCACATTACTCATCTTTTATTGTTAAAGTCTTATCATTAAAGTAGCAGCTAACAGCTATGGATAATAGTAAAACAATAACATTTTTGTGGGAGCTAGTCAGGAAACACTCAGTCCTCACAGCGTGTACCTTTATAATAGATATAATAAATAACGAGCCATGTCACCAGAGGCATCACAGCACACGGTACACAATACAGGACCCTCACAGAAAACCCAAAATATTGTCTTTTTTGGTTTGTTGGTATTACCTAAGACTGATCTACTCGAATCTTAAAATATTTGTGTTATATACATTATATGTTAATATTTAATTTTTGCACTGTGTCAGTCAACTTAAACATAGTGTTATCACTGATATTGCTCTAATTAATTACTTTTTTAACTGTTATTTACCTATTTAGTTTATTTTTTAGCCCAGTGATATGTAAAATAGTATTTAAGCTAGCCCTAGTTGCTGCTGTGTGGGTTCTGCTGTACAGAAGGAGAAACACCAGCTTTTACAGAGAGCAACATTATGTAAACTTTCATTCATATCAACCCCAGTATAGGTATCTGTATAAAATCAGTAAACTACACATATATAAAACTTTCCCTGACACTTCTGAGTTACCTTCTTTAACAGAACATGGAAGCTAAAAATGGGCAACTATAAGCTGCTGCAAGAAAGAATTTGTTGAAATGTATTTTTCTTGTTTATTTTTTGCTTGTTTAAAAAAAGTTGTATAATTTAAGTCCTGGGGCTCCACAGTCCAATTAAAATAACAACCTTGCTGAGTAATGCAGTAAGTAAAAACTGTCTGTTGCTCATCGTTTTCTTTTTTAAAATTCCCTTTCTGTAGAGGACACTGTGTCCTGTGGCCTTTTTTTTGACACCATTATATTTTAAAACTGACCAAACCCTAAGATCATGACTTACATATAACATGTCATTGTTTGTATACTGTATTACAGCAGTGAGATTTGTGCACGGTTCATTTGACGTACCTGTTAAACGTGTTGTTTCCCTGTAATAAAGCTACAGGGATAGTGTTGTCATTTAAACGATTAGCCCCCTGACTTGAATTGACATGAACATTAGACAATGGGAACATGTGAAAGATGCAGTCATTAACTTATTGGATCTTTTATACCTTTAGGTTGAAATCACTCCCATTTGCTCACTGCTGAACATCCCAGGAGCTTGTAGCTGTCAAAAAAAATGTATCGTAATATACCCTACTCTTTGCTAATATACATACTCCCCTGTAGTATTTTATTAATTAATAGCATCAAATCCAGATTTTGGCAAGCCAAACTAATAAAAGAGTAGGTGGTTTGGATCTAAATGCACTTTATGAAGCTCTGCCAGTAATGCCATTTTGTGGATTTTTTTCAAATGAACAAACACTCATTTGTTTAACCCGTGCCAAGAATTTTCAGTTTACCAGGATAACTATTCCTTCAATTTACACGACTCTTGACATAGCTGTCATCCATTATCAGCCAGTCACAAAGATGTCACCAGAAGGACCAAGCCGCGAACTGTTAAACAGCAATCTATCATAGGCAGAGGACGTGACACTGTCAGTTTCAGATGAATACGTCTGTCACTGTGGCAATAACTCATTGAACTTACGATTCCTGCTGTTGGTGGCGGAAAACAAGGCAGACAATGACCTTGTGCTGGAGATGTTAGGCTCTGACACCTATTGGCTGTAATTGCTTGTCAAGCAGCAGACATGGGGTTTGACAGAATGGTCAGGCAGTGTAATCCAGGTGTTAGCAGTGTCAATATAGGCACCATTAAACCCTGATGGAAAGCTAGAGGAATAAACTGTGACCTTTGTGTTCCTGCTGTCCCAAGCTACATGCTCTAAGGTTCTTACCATCAACCCGTATGGTTACCAAAACTCTGTTGATGATGATGGACAGGATTTCTTTGAGGGAATATCTTATGAACTCTATTTGGTACAATTCTAACTGATGTGATCAAAATATGGACTGGATCAGTTTACGTTACCAAACCTTTGAAAAACAAGTTTTAATTTTCAACTGAAGGTATTGTATATGTCACAATCACCGCTTACCTATGTTTGCCTCATATAACCATCGACCTTACATCACGTTTCCTGTCGACCCCTCCAAAAATGATAAATTGCTACTTTTCGCCGCATCATTGTTGCGTTAATTTGTCATTTATGTTCGTAAGTTTGTTAGCTTTAATCTGTTTTTTATTTCATGTTTTATTTTAGCATCACGTTGGTATCTTTTACCTCTTCACCATTGTTTTTTATCTAAACTTGCAAGAAAGCAGATACCCATAATTAAAATAAATAAATAAACTGAAAGGTCGCTGAAGATTTAAGACATAATGTTTTGGTTAAGTATGCAATTTATGTAATATGTAGTTATTAAATGAAACTTTGAAACTTTTGCTTGGAAAACATTATATAAACCCTTTCAAGCTCTGTTGGTTGCTTGAAAGGGTTGAACGTGAGACAACTGCTTTGTCCCTATCTGATTTAAATGAGGTAATATATCAGTATGAGGTAAAGTATGTGATTTATTTTTATTTCATGATTCAGCTAAACAAAAGATAAAATATTGCCAAGATTTTACATGAATCTTGCTGGAATAATTTCCATTTCCTGGGACACTAGTTTTCACTCTGAATAATTTATCTATTACTTTTTTCTTTAAAAATGATGATCAGTACATACACCAAATAGAGAAGAGTAATTAAATGAGAAAGCTTTCCATCTGTGTCTCATGCTTTCAGTCACCTTCCTCATTCTGGTCCATTATGACTGAATTCATAGGCACTCTTGACCCTGCCAGAGTCAGTGTAATTATCCTAATGAGGTGTGGTAAACCTTTTTATACCGTCTCTCTTCTCACTGTCTCTGCTACTGTGTATGTGCTCTTTTGTGTTATGAGTCACTTTTCAACTCTGATGGCCAGTGTGTTCATCTTTCCACACACACACACACACAACTGTGTGCACAGCCACTCCTTTCGATTTCTCCTCTTGGATTTCACATGGACAGACAGAAGAACATGCAAGAAAAAGAAAGTGACTGAGCGCTCCAGCATAATTAGTTGCTGGCTTTTTATATTCCATATAGCCTTGGTGGACATCTCACCCTCATATCTTTATATCAAAGGGTATCAAAGGATATAAAGATAAGTCTACATTAAGACAGACTCCAGAGTGTCTGGTTTTCTGACCCGAGCAAAATCCAGTTTATGAGGAGAGATCAGAATACATCACTGGGTAATGTGCACTGCTGCAGACAGACAGGAAGAGATCAAGCTGGAGATATGCAGGTTAAAGACACATAATCAAAATGTTGGCTTTTAGACTTTAAGATGAAGAATAACACACGGGCTGAATTGAAGAGGAGCTGCTCTCATGAGTCTGAAATGGTAGGGTGAGGATGAGCTTTCGGTGCCAGAACATTTTCGATAACTGTGCAAGTCAAATTTATAAAATCGCATTGCCTCTCAATAAATTCATAGTATGTGCATGTGTGTGCCAAATTCTGGAACCATTATGCGCGTGCAGTTTTTGAGTAATTTAGCAGTCTTTCACTGGAACAATTTTTGGCAACGTGATAGCATCCCACCTGTGACAAAATTTTATCGGCCTGTATTTGAGATCAAAAGGAAGAGAGATTTCAAAGATGGGTCTAATCCAACTCATGAGCATTGGTTAGTTAAATTAGAGGTACTATTGAGTCCTGCTGGGTTGGAATTAATTTAATAAATGAGTTGATTTAAAACTGAAACACACACCAAAAATAGGGACACACAACAAAGTTCAAAGAGTTTTGACTTCATTTATCTTTGGATAAGAACTTAAATTGTAAGTATTGGAGTACTGGCCACGACCAACACCAAAGATCATAGATGGGCTGACGTTCTGTATTACAGTCTTCCTTGTAAGCAAAATTCATTACTATACAAGTAGTTTTCTTGACAGCCTTGCAAAGAAAAAGAAAAAAGTGATATTGAGGCTCCTACACACAATACAGAAGTTAAGTGGAAATCCTCACAAATCGGTTTGAGGACTTTTGCATTGTTTGCCACTTTGCTTTTGATCTTCATTGTAGTCAAGTGCATAGTGACAGTTGTGCAAAACAAGAACACAGCCAAAATCAGCAACAGTATGGTGAGCCAGAAGAGCTGAAGGCTGTATGATTAATGTGCGTGCTGTTCTGCAAGCTTCATGTACTCACTGTCCAGCTTTCATTCATCTCCTGTCTCACGTCTGTCTTTCCACTCAGTGCTGGGAGGCGTGGAGTCACGTGGTGTGCTGAGGAAGATTAGCGACATGTTGGAGGTGATTCTGAAGAGGATGGACAGTTTGTCCAAACTCGACAACACCTCCACCACTGACGCAAGGCGCCTGGATGAGCTCAGCTCTGCCATAAACAGGTACAGTATGTTTTTTCAGTTCTTTTAGTTCTTCTTACAGTTCTTGTGTGTTAACGGTTTACTCTATTCAGATCACCTCTCCTACGTAATGTCCTTCATAAATGTTTATAGTGATTATATATTAATAAATACAGGTTTATGTTATGTTTTTTGTCTTCGAAACTGCATCTGCCAGTATCAATCATTAATCAACATATAAAGGTTTCTTCCTATAAAAACACTGTTACCACTGTTATCAGTCTGAGTTTTATACTTCGTATACATATGAAGTTCGGGGAATTGATTAAAAAATATATAGTACAGTACTGTGCAAAAGTCTTGAGACGCCCATCATTTCTTTATGTTTTGCTTCCAAGGAGCCAGACTTTGTTGTAACCACTTTTAACACTTTAAAAGGCCTTCTGAGGGCCCTTCAAAGTGTTTTTCACTCATCCTCAGTTTAATTCGTATATCTGACCATTTTTAGACGAAGGGTCTTTTTTGTATTTTAGCCACTCACCACCGATCTACAACATTAAACGTCATTAACGCATAAAAAGCAACTAATACGAAGGATGAGCCAGCGTTGAAAAGAACCAATTTTAAATTTTATTTTTAGGCACCTTATTAGTAGCAGCCTTTCTCAAAAACATTTTTTAGTTGAATGTACAAAAAATGCCAAATATTCCACAGACGCCAGAGTAGGGAAGGCAGCTGGTGTCCTGCGACGTCTCCAACCTATTTGGAACTCGACCTCCCTGAATGTTAGGGTCAAGATCAGACTATTGATCTCTATCGTCTTCCCTACTGCACTTTACGCTAGTGAAACCTGGTGCTCAACAAGTGCAATTATTCAACACCTGAACGTGCTTCAACAACGTGGCCTGCGGCGAATCCTGAGAATTTCCTACCGGGACCGAATAACAAATGAGGAGGTCCTACGAAGAGCAGGCACCCGCCCATTAGCCGATGTTGTTGCAGAAAGGCGCTTCCGCTTTGCGGACCATATTTTACGCCTACCCCCTCATCGCCCAGCTAAGATTGCCATGACATGGCGTCCACGCACTGGCAAGCGAAAGCAAGGCCGACCAAAGACCACATGGCGTCGAACATTCATGGACGATCTGAGAACTGTCGACATTGCCTGGGACAAAGCTGAAGCAGTCGCTGCTGACCAACATCGATGGAGATCACCAACTGCCCGATGCGCCGCCCAGCGTAGGAGGAACTAAGTGCTAAGTAATTCCACAGTTTGACAGGCACAGATACCAATCAGTTGATTCCCAAAGAGCTATTAGCTGAAAACTACTAACAATTAACTGAAAATGAATAGTTCTTTGGGCCTATGTTGGCATGGTGTGCAGTGTGTCCTTGGAAAATGTCTCAAACTGTACAAATAGAGGATAAAATAGGAAGTGTCAAAATTGATGGAATTATGAGTGCAGAAAAGTACAAATTCAGATTGTGATCCGCCATGCAATACCATCTAGGAAGCATCTGACTGGCAACGTTTTTTTCAGCATGACAGTCCTCCCAAACACACTGCCAATGCAGAAAAGGCATACCTGTATAGAAAACCACACAATGGAACACTGTCAGTCATGGATCAGCCTCTCCATAGTCTGAGCCTCAACATTATTGAAGCTTGTGGGTTCATGTTGACAGAATGGAACAAAAGGAAGCCAGCATCCAAAGAGGAGCTTTGGATGTCCTTCAAGAAACCTGGAGAACTATTCCTGAGGATTACTTAAAGAAATTACAAGAAAGTTTGCCTGAGAGACTACAGACTGGTCATACCATACACTTAATTTCAAGATCGTTAGATTTACACAAACTGTGCTTTTGCCTTATATACTGTATTTCCATTTATATTTTCACTTTAACTATTTCCCATTTTCCTCTTCATTTCTTTATATTTTAGCAATATATAAAGAAACAACAAGTGGCCCCAGACATTTTCGTGGTACTGTAGATCCTTTTTTGTGATTTAAATTTGGCCAATTTCCGCTCCAGTTTCATCTTCCCTTGTATGTCCAGATGGCTTTGCAGTTGCTAAGATGAGTTCCTTATTATCATGTACAGCATCTCCCTGTCACCACTATAGTTGTGACTTCTGTCTTCTCTCCTTTTTACTCCTTGCAATATTGTGTTTAGCTCTTAGGTGCTTGCTCTCCCTTTCCCCCCCTCCTACAGCCACTTGTGGAAATTGCTGACTGGTAACTCAAAATCCCTGCTGGGAACAGACAAGTCTTGCATGACCTTGCTATTCTAGCTTTTATCAGACTGCTCCCCTCTTTGCCCCGTTAGCATTGAAACATCTGATTTGTCTCTTTCTATAACGTTCACTTCATTTACAACTTTCATTTTCAAACAGCCAGACTAAACTCAGCAGGAGTGATGTGATATACACTGACAGAAATCCCTTCACTTCCTCAAACCTTGTTAAATGATCCCAGATAAGCACTCAGGTTCAGGTCCGTGCAGAGGCACTCGAGCGGAAGAATGGAACGATTAATACAGTCTGACGTTGGTGTTAACTGCAATCAATGTCTAGTAATGGGCTGTTTAATGTGGAGGAAGCCGTTCTACTCCTAGGCCATTACTGAGAAGTACCCTGCTGAGAGTGTAACTCTGTATATTGTCAGGTACTCAAAGTAGGATGGTATTCATGTATTACTCTACTGAAGGGCATTGTTTTGAGGGGGTGAATAGATACTTATACTATGGGCAAGATGTAATTGCTTTTAAACATGAGCCGAAATCAATGCTGTGTCACAATCCTCTTTTAAACACTTAGTCCAGTTTGCCCTTGAGCACTAGAATTGCTGTTAGCTTACAACATCACAGCTAAATAATGAATAGATGTACTGCAGGGTCTCTCTAAATTAGTTAAAAATGTAGTAACAAGTGATTATGCTTCACAAATACATAATTAGGATAACTGAATCATAAGAACAGGCTATTTGGTCCCTGTACAGTGGTAGTGAGAGCTTGTTTGACAGTGCCAGCAATAAGTTCATGCTGGGGATTTCATTCCAACAAGGCTGCCCGATTCTGTTTAACCTTTATATTGAGAATTTCAAGGTTATAGTTCAATAGTTTTGGTTCACATCTTTGTTTTTTGGAGATAATGTGGTCATACTTTATCAAGCGATGGCCTCAAACTACAGTACCGGTAGTACTAACACAGTCTGTTACTGAGTTAAATAGCATCTCCACGTAGCGTTGGGCAGTATGGTTTGTAGGTTTTAGTGGTTTCACTGTATGTCCCAATATTATTTTTGTATAAAGTAAAGCTTTTTTTAATGAATTTATAAGGTATTAGTCACAGCTGATGTAGACAAGTGGTATCGACACAATGCTTCAAACTACTTTGTGAAAATTGGAATAAAAGATGGCGTTAGCTAGCATGACAGCAAATAGTTCAAAGTCCCTTTTGCAGCCAGCATTACCCAACAAGCATTGATGATGTAACTTTTTTAACTGTGTAATTATTGGTATAAGAAACAGATTATGTTTCACAAATAATTGTATTTTATGATGCTGAAGTTAGTTCTGTTGGCTGCTCCGTTTAGGGTCCACACAGTGAATCATGTGCCTCAATCTCAGTGTATCTGTAGTATCATCCTCTGTTACACTAACTCTCTGCATGCCCTTCTTAACCACATCCATGAATTTTCTCTGTGGTCTTTCCTATGGCCTAGCACCTCAACATCTTTTGTCCAGTATGTTTACTGTCTCTCCTTTGCACATGTCCAAACCATCTCAGCCATGCTTCTATAACTTTGTTTCCAAACTGCTCAACCTGAGCTGTTCCTCTGATGTTCTCATTTCTAAGCCTGTGCATTCTGGTCACTCACAATCAAAATCTATACATCTTTAACTCTTTTTGTCAGCGTCATAGTTTTCCAAACCAGACACCTTTCCCCTATGGTGCTATCCTTCTGTCACAGATCACCCTGGAGATATAATCTCCACCCACTCATCCTTGTCTGGACTCTCTTCTTCATTTTCTTCCTCTTATGTGTCCTGCACCACCCTCACATGCAGTACCACAGACCTTGTCTTGGCAACCTATTGTATAGATCCACAGAGACACAGCAGCAACTCTTTCTTCCCTTCTTTATATGTCTCATCAACACTCTCAAAGCAAACATGTATATGCAGTCTCATTCTTGGCATGAAGCCACACTGCTGCCCATTAGTTGTCACCACTCTTCCTAACCTAGCTTAAACAACTCTTCCCCAAAGCTTCATGGTATGGCTCATTAGCTTTACCCTTTTGACCACCTCTGCACATCACCCTTGTTCTTGAAAACTGGTGCCATCGCACGTCTTCTCCATTCCTCAGGTATCCTCTCACTCTCTTTAATTTTATTCAACAGTCTGGTTAAAAAGTCCACTACCTTAAACATCTCCATACCTCCACAGGTATGTATCTGGGCCCTTTCCCCTCATCTTCTTCATAGCTGATTTCACTTCCTCCTTACTAATTCTCTGCACTTCCTAATTCATTAACTGTCCTTCATCTGTCCTCCTTTCTCTCTCTCTCATGTTCTGCATTCATGAGCTCCTCAAAGTAATCCTTCAAGCTTCTCAACACACTCTTTTCACTTATTAGTGCACTTCCATCCACATCCTTCATCACCCTAATCTGCTGTACATCCTTTCCATCTTGATCTCTCTGTCTAGCCAGTAAATATACGTCTTTTTTTCCTTTGTTAGAGTCCAACCTCACATACAACACCAGGTTTTCCCTTTCTCTGCTGCAGGCCTAGCCTCCCAGTATCCCTGTCTATTGTCTTCATCTCCCTGACTATCACAAGTTTTCTTTGCTAACCTTTTCCTTTGAATAGTTTCTTTTACTCACTTGTACCTAATTTCACCACAAAGTCACCTTGTCCTCATTCCTCTGTCCAGAGAGTACACCAAACCCCTCTGTTGGCACTTTCTCTCAGTACTATAGTTGTACTTTCAGTTATCTGGTCTCAACTCCTCCCTGAACTCTGTGCAACATTTTT